AGCCGTGGGCTGACCCTCGCCCCCACCCAGAGGGGAGCATCTGCGGCACCATGGGGAAGGTCCAAGCTGTTATCTGGCTTAAGACTCCCAAGAGGCGGTTTTGATGCCATAACAAAATACTGGGCCTAAATCGTGTTCCTAAATTTGTCACTTAAAAAACAAACAAATATGTTCATTTAAAAGAATGTAAAAATGTTCATTTAAGACTCTAAAAATAAATCTGCATATGGTTTTGCTTGTTCATCCAGATGTTCCAATAGCACAAAATTATTTTTTATAAAAGAACACAACTGCATTTTGGCATGTGCGGTAGACTGAAAGATGGTCTCCCCTCAGTGTGTACATCCTAATCCGTGGCGCCTATCAACAGACTTACATAGTAAAAGGGAGTTTACAGATGTGATTACATTAAGGATCTTGAGATGTGAAGATTATTCTAAATTATCTTGGTGTTCACAATGGAATACAAGGGTCTTTGTATGTGTGAGAGAGAAGTGGAATGAGATACTCACAGGAATGGCAGCACGAGAAGGACTCAGTCAACACATTCTTGCTGGTTTTGAAGATGGATGAAAAGGGCCACAAGCTAAGGAATGTTCCAGAAATGAGGAAAAACAAAGAAACAGACTGTTCCCTAAAGTCTCCAGAAGTAACTTAATCTGTGGACACCTTGATTTTAGCCCAAGGAAGTTGATGTCAGACCTGTGACCTCAAGAACTGTAAGATAATAACTTTGTGTTGTTTTTAGCGACTAAGCTTATGGTAATTTGTTATAGCAGCAAGTGGAAACTACTACAGTGTATTTCAGCATTACAAAGTCTACATTAGAGTCCTTCCGACCAATCTTAGGAAGTACAGAGGATTTCAACTTGTTGTCATAAACAATAGTCTGTAGATAGCAAAGCTAAATTAAACTACAGGAAGAAATATCAAGAAAGAAAAACTAAATTCCATCCATTGTCAAGCCTAATTATGAACTTGTTAAGCTTGACAAGTTATTAGTGCCCCAACTTCACCTTGACCAGTTATTAGTGTGTGTAGGTGAACATTATAAATTTGCATTTAATAAATTGTTTGAATTTCTGAGCCTTGGAGTGACAGGAATTCAGCCAAAAGCTTATATACCAACACTTGTAATCAAGCTGCAGGTTTTACTCAATTTAACAAAGAAAACCTTAATTTGTGCATGATTGGTGGGCCCACAGCCTGCCTCCATCTCACCACTTCTAACAGACGCAAAGCAGAAGCCAAGGGACAGTGACTCCTCTAAAGTAAATGCAGCATCTGCAGATGTAGGTTCAGCTAAAGAGTGCGAATCAGCTAGAACCAAATACATGAGAATCCCTGCCAAGGCACACACCTTCTTGGGCAGCAGTAAGGTCTGGAGTGTGGGCTTTCAAAGGGTGGGGGTATGATGGGGGGTGGGAATAGAGTAGGAAGTTCCAGAATGTTCTATAGCAAATTCCAATTCATCACGGAATTGGAATCCCTGAAAACTGGGGATTAGCATATGAATGACAGAATATGGGAGTTGTCAGTTGACACAGTGGCAGAATAGAATAGCAGAGCCCTTAATAGGAAAATGGTTCCAGGTTTAATTTAATCGCATCGGCGATTTGGAAATCACCTCAGGATGCTGCAATATTTCCTCTCTACTGCAATGAATATTAATCATCCAGGTATGGTATTGTAGGAAACAATTTAGGAAATTTGAGATCTCTGTTTGCAGGCTTCTTAAAAATTCTGAGTATATAAACGTTTATTAAGGAATCTGTATCTTTCCAGCTATGGCCTGGAAACTTTCCGTGGGCCTGTGAGTGGACTGAGCTACTTCACAAAGAAGAAACTGCCTTGTTAGGCTGAATGCTCCTTCAGTTTTATGATCCCTTTTGACATTCCGCATTGGATCCAGAGGAAGTCAGCAAGGGTTCAGTGAGTGCTTACTGGCACCTCCCACACATTCTCTGCAATGGTGGCACTCTCCCTTGCAAGCTGGATTCCACAGCACAGGGAAAGTCTATTTCCCTCCCTATACTATTGATTCCCAGCACCAGCTACTACTTAGTAGGTGCTTCGCTCCAGGTGCGGAATGAATGCGTGCCCACATGGTTGGGAGGGTTCTCCCAGCTGAGGGGTCAACATCTCCATCAACACGCAGTAGGCAGGTAGCCAGGCGTGAGCAGAGCACGGAGGATGGGTCAGGTACAGAAGGTCACCAGGGCAGAAAGCCCCAGGTGTCTAGCATTAGGCAAAGTTGGGCAAACAAGGACCTCGTCCCCGGGGTAACCTTTTCTTCGCTAACACATTGATGGTCATACGGTTTAGACCCCTTGACCTTTCATATAACTGGTTGTGCGTGTTTGACACCCTGACCGTTCATATCATAGCTGGTCATTAGGTTCAGACCCTCCCCTGACCTTTCTTTCCCTGGCATGTCACTAGTCATGTGGTAGGCCCCTTGGAAAGAGGAACGAGGGGCCAAAGAGTGGCCTCACGTAACTCTCACGTAAGCCCTTGCATGACCACTCCCTTAAGCATTTAACCTCTAGGGATAATATCTAGGCTGCAGCTGTGTTTTAGCTCTAGGCCCAAAAAAGCAGTGAAATCAAACAAGTGATGCCATGACTAACATCAGAGCCAGCTGCGTTGATTAATGACCCCTGCCTTGGCACCAACCAATCAGTAGAAGTCATGACCTTGAAAGGAACACCTGGAAAGCTGATGACTATTTATTGAGACCCTCCCCTGAGACTTCCAGATGGATACCCTCGATCCAGAGGATTCAGTACCACTCTCTAGGGATCTTGCCTGCGCCTTTCCCCAGGCTGCTGTCCTTGCCTCTCTCTCCCCTACGCGGCAAGGGCCCTTCTTTCGCCTCTGTAACTTGTTTCCTGAGCCCATTTTCTCTAAGGCTCACTTCTACCTCTGTGACTTTCTAAATCAACTTTCTCTTAGAGTTCGAGTTTGGCTTTGAATTCTTTCTTAGCCAGAATTCAAGTACTGTGGTTGCTGAACTGATTAAGAAAAATTAAGCAAAGATTTAAAAAATCAGAAAAATGCACCAATATGGGGCACCCCTCCCTCACTTTGAGAGAATATATGGAAAAACAATTTGGTAGAGGGCATCAAGAACTGTAGAAATAAATGCTCATTCCCTTTGGCCCAGTAATTGCACTTCTGGGAGTTTATTCTAAGGGAATAATCCTAAATATAGAAAAAGTTTTCATGCACAAAATTGTTTGTTACTTTATTTTTAAAAGTTCTAATATTATGTGTAATAATAAAAACTGGAAACAACCTAAACATAAACAATAGGGGAAAATCAAGTGTATTAAAGCATATGACTATTATGCAGCCCTTAAAATATCTCTATTAAAAGTTTTCATAACATGAAAAATACTTGTGTTGCTAAGTGGAAATGGTGAAGTACAAAATTCCCTGTACATTATGAAACTGGCATTTTTAAATGCATGGAACCAGGACCAGGAAGATATTTGAGAAAATAATTAGTGATTCTCTTCGTGGGTATGGTGGCATTATGGAGAATTTTTCTTTTTCTTTTATTTTCCTATATTGCCCATGTTTTTACAGTAGATACTATATTTTTCATGCATTTATCCCTGGCAGAGCAGAGAAATCCTTTATTTTTGTTTAAAATCCCTGTCTCTGAGGGGCTAATTTAACATAACTCACCACTGGTGGTCTCCTCGGTTCTTGGAAAGCAAGTGCCATACGTTCACCCTCATCCTCAACAACAGCTGAATCCTTTCTGTCTCCTCATGTTACATCCTGCTTTCCTGCTTCCAGAGCCTTCCCCCGGGCCCTCCTACCACCCCCATTATCCTAGGGTCTGGATCATCCCTACTTCTGAACCCAGATGTCCTGGTATGAGTGCTGGCTTCTGTGATGAGCCCCCCAGGAAGCCAGGTGCCCACTCTCCCAGACCTGCTGTCTAATGCCAGATGCTTCCCTACGCACCCACTCGCCTGCCAAGATGGCGAGCGACTGCCTGCCAGCCCTCCCTGGTGCCGCACGCCCACCTGGTCCTCCTGACTGCCTGCAGCTGAGGCTCCCCGATTCTCTCCCTGTCTTGGTCTCCTTAGTTTTATCTCTGGGTCCCACTCACTGCTGATCGGGTTGTCATTGCCATGACCATAGCCTCTTGTGTTCCTTTTCCACCTTTCCTCCCGGGTCACACAAGGAAAGTGCAACCAACACCAGGGCCTCTTCTTTGGTCCTGTTCAGAAAATTTACTCTAGGTGAATGACTTGGGGAAATAAAGTGGAATGATGGAGCCCTTGATTCTGCGTTTGTGTCTCTGACTAGACAGAACCTAGACTAGAGATCCCTCTTTTTACTTGAGTCTAACAGTTGTAAATGAATGATGGAGATGATGATGAGCTTTTCTAATGGCTGGTACTATGCTAAATATTGAACATGGAGAGTCACATATAACCTTAAAATAAACCCCTGATATGGGCGGGCACTGTTGGCAGTTCCCTTTTACAGATGAGAACTCTGAAGCTCACTTAGGTGATCGAGGTCAAAGTCACAGAGATGGTCACTGAAAGAGGCAAGATTTGAACCCAGCGGCAGTTTGATCATTAAATACCACTGCAGAAGGTGCAACATCAAAGGCAGATCATTGCAATGAATGAGTGGAGAGGCCATCGTAAGCATGACCAACTGAAGACTGCATGTCCATCTGCAAGGTGGAAGTTACCACAAAGCCTCAGGTGACTTATGTGAGGCAAGAATGGGGGTCCGGATTTGTCAGACCTCCTGAGTTTTCAAGAGATCTAATCAATCTGCATTTTTATGTGCAATCTTCCTGTTTAGCAATGTGGGTTCCACATTCTCAAAAACCCTGGGTAGGCCAAATCCGTGCACAGATGGACCACCAGTTTGCAGCCTTTGCACTAAGCTGTACCATGCACCTTCCGATTCTTACTGTGACTCACGGGCTTCTCCTTGGGAAGAGAAGGGGAGGGGCTACATACCTGCACAATCTCTAGCATTTCTGCCTTGCTGATGTAGCCGTTTCCATCCAGGTCGTACATGCTGAAAGCCCATTTCAGCTTCTGCTCCAGCTTGCCCCTCGATGTCACACTCAAGGCTATAATGAATTCTCTAAAGTCTATCGTCCCATCTCCATTGGCATCAAAGGTACGGAAGACATGCTCTGCAAATTTGGAAGCATCCCCATAAGGGAAAAAGTTCCCGTAAATTTTCTTAAACTCTTCCATTGACAAATGTCCGCTGGGGCAGTCTCTCAAGAAGCCTTTGTACCACTCCTGGATCTCGTGCTCGGTAAAGTCTGTGCTTTCCAGCAAGTCCTGCATGACCTCTGGGCGCAACTTGCTGTTCTGTTTTCCCATCCTGGCAACAAGAATTCAGCTGTAGATAGAAAAGAATGTATATAATTTTTAGACTCGTTCTTCCGAGGCACATTTTATAATCTGCTCTTGTTCCTTTGGGAAAAAGAAATAAACTCTATTTTAGTTCAATAACATCATCTAGGTTTTCCAACACTGTGGTCAGTCAAAAAAAATGATAGAAAGACAAGTAGACAAATGATCCAGAACAGAAATATCACTGAAAGAGACAAAATGCTAGAGAAAAAGAATGTGTGTGGGAGAGAACTGGCTACTTAGTTCTGCCTTATCTGTTTGTAAGAGGCCATGCCTGGCTTTAAGAAGGTGGGTTCTAACACCCAGTCCAACTTTGAGAAGGGGAATTAAAGAAGAGGAAGAGAGAGAATCTTTATGAGTAAAGTGCTGCTTGGATACCTGCTGAATATTATAAACAGACATGAGTAAGGACATAACTGACGTAGCTATCGTGCTAGGTCAGTTATTTAAATCCACAAAGTCAAGTTGCTGTCAGCATAGGGTTTAGATGGAAAAGATGATACTTCATCAAGTTGTTCATGTCTTATATTGTGGCTTATGAAATAGGCCAAATTCCCCTTTTTCAAATACAGATTGTTTCCTATTTTCTTACCCTTATAGCACACGGCCATAGTGAGATAGCAAGACAACACAGTGATGCATGAAGGAGCAGGTCAGCACCATTTCACATCTCAGCACCTAGCGATAACCACCACCGGCATTTGGGGGCGTGTCCTTCCACAGTGTCGAACGCACACTTGTATGAACATGCTATTAATATGTGTTTTAATGCACTCACATTAAAAACAAGACTATATGTATATTATCCCTTTAGTTATATATTTTATAAACTTCGTATGGTGTGAAGAATAAAGACAGCTTTTATTAGATGGGAAAACACCAGTAGCTTCCATCTTCCCAGTCACACAGCCCTTCAACATTTATCGAGGGCCATATACCAGATGCGTTTCTGATGCTGTGGATGCAAAGAAAAGTAAGACGTGCCCCCTCCTCTGTAAGGTGGACCCCGTTGTGTATGTAGGGAGGGTGGTGGCAGGGAGGGGACAGTATAAGAGACTGGGAGTGGATGTGGTGCGGAGAAGCACACAGGAAAGACGCTCAAGCCGAATGGGGCAAACAGGGAAGCTTCCTCAGAGGAGGCGTCATGGGAGCTTAGCTCCTATTCCCACAGTGTTATCGTGTAAGCATGGTCAAGGTAAACCCTTTCTCACAAACAGGCTCTGTATTTATGTTTTCCATTTTTCTTATATTAGGAAAAAAATCTGAAAGTAAGACCTGGAAAGTTACAGAGTGTATAAAACACAACACGTCTCCATTTTAATTATGATTTTCCATTTCCTTTGAGAGTTTATGCTTTTTTGTGCTTATTTGTTTGTGTCTGTCTCACTCCCACTACACAGTTTGCCCCTTGAGACAGAATTTCCATTGGATTTAGTCTCTCTTAGGCCCACAGCAAATGACATTTGGTGATTTAATGAAGGAGGGATAAATAATTACAACATGGAAATGTGGAATAATCTCATTGGAAAAGACATTTTTTTTTCCTGGTAAAAGGATGATGTCCTGGAATTCATAATGCCATTTGGCACACTAATGCTGTGCAGCAGTTAAACACAACTGGCATATCTCACAGAACTAGAACAAATAATCCAAAAATTTATATGAAACCACAAAAAAACCCCAAATAATCACAGCAATCTTGAGAAGAAGACAAAGTCACAGATATGCTACCTGATATCAAACTATATTACAAGGCCAGAATAATCAAAACAGCATGGCACTGGCATAAAAACAGATACACAAATTAATGAAACAGAATAGAAAGCCCAGAAATAAACCCACACCTATATGATTAACTGATATTTGACAAAGGAGTCAAGATACAATGGAGTAAAAAACAGTCCATTCAGTAAATGGTGCCTGGCAAATTGGACAAGTATATACAAAAAAAAAAAAGAAGAAAAAGAAAAAGAAAAAGAAAGAAACTAGACCACCTTCTTACACTGTATATAAGAATAAACTCAAAAGAGATTAAAGACTTAAATGTAAGACTCAAAACAATAAAACTCCCAGGAGAAAATGTAGGCAGTGAAATCTCAGACATTTCTTGTAGCAATATTTTTTCTGATGTATTTCCTTGGGCAAGGGAAACGAAAGAAAAAACAAACAAATGGGACTATATCAAACTAAAAAGGGTTTGCACAGCCAAGGAAACCATCAACAAAAAAAGACTAGCTACTGACTGGAAGAAGATACTCACCAGTGATACATCTGACAAAGGGTTGACATCCAGAATCTATACAGAACTTACACTACTCAACACACGCAAAAGAGCAATCCAGTTCAAAAAGGAGCAGAGGACCTGAACAGACACTTCTCTAAAGAGGACATACAGATGGTCAACAGACATATGAAAATGTGCTCAATGTCACTAATTGTCAGAGGCATGCACATTAAGACCACAATGAGATATCACTTCACACCTGTCAAAATAGCTGATCAGTAAACCCACAAATGACAGATGCTGGCAAGGATGTGGAGTAAAGGGACCCCCACTGATGGGAATGCAGACTGGTGTAGCCACTATGAAAGATAATATGGTAATTCCTCAAAAATTAAAAATGGAACTGCCTTATAACGCAGCAATTCCACTTCTGGGTATATATGCAAAGAGATCCAAAACACTGATTCGGAAGAATATGTGCAGCACTGTGTTCCTTACAGCGCTACTTACAATCACCAAGATGTGGAAGCAGCCCAAGTGCCCATCAATAGACAAGTAGATAAAAAGTGGTGGCACATGTGTGAAGTGGAATGTTACTCAGCCACAAGACAGCACAAAATCTTAGCAGCTGTAACAGCATGAGTGCACCTAGAAGGTGTCGTGCTCAGTGACATAAGTTAGTCCGAGAAAGACAAATACCATACGATTTTACTTATATGTGGAATCTAAAGAACGAAATGAATGAGCAAAGCCAAAGGGTGGTTGCTAGAGGGGAGAGGAAGTTGGGGAACTGGGTGAAATCGTGCAGAGATTAAGAAGTTGTTGAAGGGACTTAACTAAGAAAAAGAAGATAAAAAACATGTGTAGCAAAATGACAGCAAACTCACAATTATTAACAACCACACCTAAAACAAAAACAAAAGTAAACTAAGCAAACAACTAGAATAGGAGGAGAACCACAGAATGGAGATCACATGGAGGGTTAGTAACAGGGGAATGGGAGGAGGAGAAGGGGGGAGAAGGTACAGAGAATGAGTTGCATAGACGATAGGTAGAAAATAGATAGGGGGAGGGCAAGAATAGTAGGGGAAATGTAGAAGCTTAAGAACTTATGACACGTGGACATGAACTAAAGTGAAGGAATGGGGGTAGGAGAGGGTGTGCAGGGTGGAGGGGAATGAAGAGGGTGGAATGGAACAACTGTAATAGCATAATCAATAAAATATATTAAAAAAGAATCAACAAAAAATCAATAAAGAACAAACAGACAAACAAAAAAGAAGTAGAAATTCATCTTACAAAATAGTCACAAGGATGAAAAGTATAGCAAAAGGGAATGTGGTTAATAATACTGTGATAACTATGTCTGGTGCCAGGTGCGCACTGGAAATACCAGGGCTGGGGGACACTTTGTGAAGTATAGCATTGCCTGCATACCCATCTGTAGCTCTCACTAAAAATAAATTTCTAGAGGGCAGCATTTGCATCTCATACTGCTCAAACTTCTTTTGTAATATGCACAGTTCAGGAAATGGCAAGCAGTCCTTAGTAACTGCCAAGGTGACTGATTTCGTGTTCGGAGTTCTGCGCTGCGGACAGACCCGGCCCCTCCTGCTCCCAGGCCAGCGTCTCCCAGCCGCAGGGAGGAGGGAGCCCCCTTCCCATTAGCCAGGCCAACGGCTGCAGGAAGGAGCTTCCATCCAGGGGTCCATCTTTACGGGGAAACAGGCAAACATCATGTTGTACAAGAGCAAAATTCAACTCCAATGGAGCACAGACAGGATTTATAAAGTGAACCTTCCAATAACTTGCACTCCCCTCTTGAGTTCTTTTCTTTCTGAAGAAATAAAAGCTGAGTTAGAGAGGCTGGTTTTTATTAGAATTTTCAAGCTGTCATTTAGTTGCTAAGTTGGCAATTTGCCTGGGGCAAGAATTCAGAAACACGAGGTAATACATAATACATGGGCTTACAGAGCCCTGAAACATTTGCTGGAATTTACAAGTAATTTTGAGTTTTCCTTTGCGGGGGGTTCTTTGGAATACAGCTCTCTAGTGTAGTGTTCAATCAAATCACCATTATTACACTTTTTATTATACTCTGGTTCTGTGCAAATCCCTGTGTGTCTGGCCTTGGGGGAAAATGCCATTCCAATATTTAAATCCACTCTCTTAAAGAATGATTTATTTCCCTAAATATGTAAAACATAGTTTCTTCAAAACTAAACTTAAGCTCCTTCCCTAATGTTTAAAAAGCACTTCTCATTTATTAGCTGTTTTTGCACTAGAAACGAATGGCCTCAACATCTTGGCCTAGTCTCCCAAGGACTGGTTTGTGTAGTGCTATTTTCCACTGAACAGTAATTAAACCACATTTACAAGTTCATTAGCACAGAAAGGCCAATACACAAACAAGGCGGAAGAGCATGCAATACGTTCTTTGGGATATGGGTGTCTGCAATTCAGTCCAGCAGTTGTTTCAGTAGATAATTACACGTATTTTGCTACATATGATATCTGAACTTGTAAAGACCATCTGGACTTGGTTAGACTGTATGCCAAAAATACCAGGGGACATATGACAGAGTTTCATTCCTAGGTGGGGGCCGGCGGGAGACAGAGGCATGCTGGACAATACCTTTTTCTTTTGAAAGGCAGGAATTTCTGTCTGTTTGAGTTGAAGAGGGGGAAAAATAATGCCAGGGAAATGCCACAATTAGCAGTAAAAAAAAAAGTAGTTTGGAGACAAAAGCTGCACCTCGGAT